TGCATCCACAGGTGCATCTCAAGTAGGGCCAAGGAGGTGATCCTCCCCCTCTACGCGACACTGGTCAGGCCACAGCTGGAGTACTGTGTCCAGTTCTGGGCACCCCACTTGAAGAGGGATGTGGACAACATTGAGAGGGTCCAGAGGAGGGCCACCCGCATGATCCGGGGACAGCAGGGTAGACCCTACAATGAGAGACTACGGGACCTGAACCTGTTCAGCCTTCACAAGAGAAGGCTGAGGGGGGACCTTGTGACCGTCTATAAACTCACTAGGGGGGGACCAGAAGGGTTTGGGGGAGACCTTCTTTCCCCTAGCGCCCCCCGGGATAACAAGGAATAACGGCCACAAGTTGTTGGAGAGTAAGTTTAGATTAGACATCCGTAGGAACTACTTCACAGTCAGGGTGGCTAGGATCTGGAACCAACTTCCAAGGGAAGTGGTGCTGGCTCCTACCCTGGGGGTCTTTAAGAAGCGGCTCGATGTCTACCTGGCTGGGGTCACTTGAACCCAGTTTCCCTCCTGCCCAGGCAGGGGGTCGGACTTGAAGATCTACAAGGTCCCTTCCGACCCTACTTCTACAATTCTATGATAAGCACTTGGAGAAGAAAAAGGTGATTAGGAACAGTCAGCAAAGATTCACCAGGGGCAAGTCATGCCTGAATAACCTGATTGCCTTCTGTGATGAAGTGACTGGCTCTGTGGCTGTGGGGAGATCAGTGGATGTGGCATACCTTGATTTTAGCAAAGCTTTTGATACAGTCTTCCACCACATTCTTGCAGGCAAAGTAAGGAAGTATGGGTTGGATGAATGGACTGTAAGGTGAACAGAAAACTGTCTGGAGCATCAGGCTCAGAGAGTAGTAATCAACAGCTCGATGTCTACTTGGCAGCTGGTATCAAATGGACTGCCCCAGGGGTCAGTCCTGGGTCTAGTTTTGTTCAATGTCTACATTAATGACCTGGAAGATGGCATGGAGTGCGCCCTCAGCAAATCTGCTGATGACACCAAGCTGGGGGGGAGTAGCAGATACACTGAAGGATAGGGCTAAGATACAGTGGACAAGCTGAATATGAGGCAGCAGTGTGCCCCAATTGCCAAGGTTAACGGCATCCTGGGCTGCACTGGTAGGTGTGTTGCCAGTAGGTTAATGGAAGTAATTATTTCCCTCTATTCAACACTGGTGAGGCCCCATCTGGAATACTGTGCTCCGTTTTGGGCCACCCCACTACAAAAAGGATGTGGAAAAAGTGGAGAGAGTCCAGCAGAGGGCAACACAAATGGTGAGGGGGCTAGGGGTCATGACTTCTGAGGAGAGGCTGAGGGAACTGGGCTTATTTAGTCTAAAGAGAAGAGAAGACTGCAAGGGGATTTAATAGCAGCCTTCAACTATCTGAAAGGGGGGGGAGGGGGGAGGAGAGGGGTGTTCCAAAGAGGATGGAGCTGGACTGTTCTTAGTGATGGCAGAACAAGGAGCAATGATCTCAAGTTGCAGCAAGCGAAGTTTAGGTTAGATATTAGGAAGAATTTTCTCTCTATGAGGGTAGTAAAACACTGGAACAGGTTACCCAGAGAGGTGGGATCTCCATCCTTGGGGGTTTTCAAGACCTAGCTACACAAAGCTTTGGCTGGGATGATCTAGTTAGTGATGGTCCTACTTTGAGCAGGGAGTTGGACTGGATGGCATCCTGGGGTCCCTTCCAACCCTGATTTTCTCCAACTTCTATTATGTAATTTCAGAGCCATTAGCTACCCTCTTTGAGCTCCTGTGGAGGTTGGGTCCAGGTGACTGGAAAAAGGCAAATATCCTGCCCATCCTTAAGACGGGGAGGAAGAGGATCCAGGGAATTACAGACCAGTTGGCCTGACATCAATACCTGGAAACATCGTGGAGCAAGTCCTCAAGGAATCTATTGTGAAGCACCTAAATGAGAACAAGATGTTCGGGTGCCTGAGTCCAGAATGGATTGATCAAGAGCAAGCCATGCTTTACCAACCTGATTTCTTTCTGTTAAGTTGACAGGCTCTTTGGATAGGGAGAAAGCAATGGATGCGATATAACATGAGTTTAGCTAGGTTTTTGACACTGTCTCACATGACCTTCTCATAAACGAACTAAGGAAATACAAACTAGATGAATACTGTAAGGTGGATATGTAACTGATACAAGCAGTCATCAGTGGGTCCAATATCTAGTTGGGAGAAGGCACCAAGTGGACCTCCCCAGAGGTGTGTCTAACATCTTATCATTCAACATCTTAATTAATGATTTGGACGACGGGACTGAGTGCACACTTAGCAAATTTGCAGGTGGAAACACCAAGTACTTAGCAAATTTGCAGGTGGAAACACCAAGTTAGGTGGAATGGTAGACATTATAAACTAGGGCTACAATCCAGAATGACCTGGAAAAACTGGAGAAATGGCTTGCAATCAATCAATCAGATGAGATTCAACAAGGACAAGTTCAAAGTCCTGTACCTTGTACAAATACACAAATGCATGCACAAATACAGATGGGGAATGACTGGCTAGGCTGCAGTAGCACAAAGGTTACAGTAGACCATAAGCTGAATATGAGCCAGCAGTAGGACTCCTGTTGCAAAAAAAAAGCCAACAGCACGCTGGGTTATATGAATAGGAATGTCACTTGCAAATCAAGGGAAGAGATTCTTCAGCTCTGTTCAGTGCTAGTGATGCCTCATCCGGAGTACTGTGTCCAGTTTTGGGCCCAAACTTCAAGAACGTGGATAGATTTGAAAGAGTTCATTCAGTGCAAAGCAACAAAAATGATTAGAGGCCTGGGAAGCAAGACTTACGAAGAAAGGCTGAATGAATTAGGATCATTTAATCTGGAGAAGAGAAGACTAAGAGGGGATTTGATAACAGTCTTCGAATACCAGATGGGCAGATTGCGCTGTGGCAGTAGGGGACAGAAGTAGGAGCAACTGTCTCAAACTGCAGCAGGGAAAATTTAGGTTGGTGAGTAGGAGGAACTTTCTGATTATGTGGATGGTCAGGCATTGTAACAGGCTACGTAGAGAAACTGTGGACTCTTTATCATTGAAAATTTTCAAGAAAAGCTTGGACTCTTAGCTAGGATGGTTTAGTCAGGGACCATCCTGCCTTGAGTATGGAGCTGGACTGATGAAATCATGAGGTGCCTTCTAGCCCTACTTCCTATGATCCCATTCTACTGAAATGCTGGTACAAAATGTTGAGGGGAAAAAAAAGTTGTGATTTGTTTCGTCTTACAGAACAGAACATATTTAAGGAAAAGCTGTTAAAAAAGTGCTTAAAGGGAGAATGTTTAGGGAACTAGACCCTAATTAGCTACATTTTATAGAAGATTCACTAAGCGGAAGCAGCCTGGTTCTCTCTCCCCACATCACAGGGAACAGCAGCCCAGGCAGGGGCAGGTTTAGCCTAACACAGCCTGCTGTTCATAGCTTCTGATCCAATGCACATAACAGGCATTTGCAACTGCTGTGTTATTCACCAGGACAAACACTTAACTAAAAATACTTAGCATGTATACACTAATAAGTTTTGAAGACCTTTGGGAAAAATACAAGTGGTCTAACCTGGGTCCAAGCTGATCAGGACATTCCTTTCGCTTTCTTGACTCTGCCCTAGATGGGTCAGAGGAATTTTCTCCCATCCCACTCATCTTGAACACATATCAGCAACTGAAAAAAGAAACAAATAATGTGTTTCAGTAAAAGGAACTCATTTCTCCTATACCACTTAGTGACTTAGTCCCCATTCTCTATCCCCCCAGCAACTTTATTTTTACCACAAAGAGCTGCATCTTAGATTTGCAAAGTGCTGTGATATAATTTGCCTGAAAGATGCTACACAAACTAAAATAATGTATTTGTGCCCTTACAAAATTGTATTCAGCTGTTTACTTACAGAAAGTTTTCCGATGGCCAATTAAACCACTATAATGTTTTTTTTTGTTTTGTTTTGTTTTTAATCAGCAGCATGATGGTAAGACAAGACAAGTAAATTTTGTGTTTAATTGTGCAAGGTTAAAGCAGAAGAGGAACGAACAATGTCAAACGATAACGTGTCAGAAATTAAACACAGTTGTCATAAAAAGACAACACACATAGCTTTAGTTAAAAGATGAAAGCCTCAAGCTTTCACAACTGCATGAACAATATAACTGAATTATAACATCAGCCAGAATTGGATATCTCCAATAAATGCACATTCAATTTTAAAGAGTAATTAAATCTACCTCATAGGGCAAATTATTTGCTAAGACAATATCAACTGACAATTGTTACAATAGGACACAAAAGCTCCAAACAATGATCAGAACTGCATTGTGCTAGGAACTGTACAAACATGTAAGGTACTTATTTCCTGTCCCAGAATACTCAGATAAGTGCAATATGCAATAGGTGGAAAATCAGATAAGAGACAGATGAGAAGATGATAAGGAATACATTATGGATAATGAAGACAGTCTCAGTTCGCCACCTGGATATAGTCACCGTCAATTTTGTAGGATCATGCCATAGATAAATTTTACAAAATAATCTGAAAGAAAACATTGTAAAAAACCCAACCCTTCCCCCCCCAAGGTATCTTCTTGTTCACCGATCATGCTGTGCAAAGATTCCAGTTTTCAAAGTATATCTTGTTACATATGGAAACTAGAGATGTTATGGAGATGTCTTATCCATAAGAAATGCCCGCTTCAAGTTATACACAACTGAAATCACATTTTGATGGACTTAATGAAGCTACAAGCCTCATCAGGGCCCTGTGTATAGATGAATTTCATCTCAGTACCCAAGACTGAGACAAGAGACTAAACCTGCTGTATAGCAGCTTCTTACAGAGCCTTGAGAATTGAGTTATTTTGTCTTGCTACTTCTTGAGAAAAGAAAAAGCAGCTTAACTCTGTTACAGCCAATTGCTAAGCTCATTTCCTATAAAAAAAAAACTAGCTATAAGGAATTTCTAACTTTTTTGTTTTCAATAAATGGATCCAGATTTACAGGATGCCACTGTACCAACATCTCAAAGGCATTTTGTTACTGCAAATGAGCCAGCATTCATCCCATATGGACGGATTTGACAATTAGTAATGTCAGTTTGTATGCTTCAAGGTAAGATAAATAGTACAACTAAACTACGAACATTAAAGTAGCCCCCCGTCAATTGTTTATACAGGAAATAAATCTTTGCAGCATTTTTAAATACTGTATTCGTCTAGCATTATATATAAGATTATGCAGTATACAATTTCTCAAAAAGATCACTTTGAAAAACAATTATTTCTCTCAATAAGAAAGCATTCACTCAAAGAATACAACAAGGATTATGCAAGATCTTTAAGTAATTCTCCAACAATGAATTAAAGTGTCCCTAAGTTTCTTGTAAATAAAAAAATCTACAACATCTAAAAGACTGTCCTGAATGAGATCTAAAATACTTTGCAAGACTTAAAACACATGGTGCTGATCTTGTTCTCATAAAATATTTATAGAAAAAAAATAAAATTAACTGTGTATAGTTTAACATTTCCAAAGATCTCTTTTGATTATTTATAGGTGTGGTGTGTTTCTAGCACAAGATAGCTAGTGTTCCCCCTCACTAGTTCTTAAAGATTTTTGACTTGGTGAGAATCAGCTGGGTTTTACAGGGAAACCAGCCTTTGAGCTCCTTACCAGCTTCAGTACTTTGATGAACTGGGCAAGGAATTCCCCAACCTCTAAGTATGATTCACAGCAGAAATGTTTTATTTTTTTTGCCCAACAGGCTGACCAAATGTCTTCTTAACAAGCTGAAATCTAGTCAGCTAATATCTTCGGAGAAGCTGAACTATAGGTAAGTGGTTTCTTTTTTCTAAGGCTGCAGGTCTATAGTTTGAGATGAAGTTACATATTGCTGACCAAACCTCAAAGATAATATGGTCAACCTGCTGGTTATCCACTTCCTTGTCCAATTTTTAAAAAATTTTTTTTGCTTTTCTTTTCTTTTTGCTTATGTGATTGTATACTGTTTTTTTCAGGAATAAAGTACTTCAAGGAGTACTTGAGTTTCTAATTCAAACAAACATGCACATTTCTGAAGTGGGTTAATTTAACTTTGAAGACTTCCTGAAGCACTTCACACCTCAAAAAGAAAGTGTACAATCATATAGGTTTGGCCAGCAATATATCACTTAGACTGCTAACAAGAAAAAGATATATTTTCTGTATTACTCTGGGACTCAAGATGTGGATAACACCTAGTAGCAAACTGGCCCCAAAAGCTTGTTTATGCAACTAATTAGAAATTTTAAATAACCTATTGAAAAAACTCTCTTGTGAACTAGTTTAAGACAGGAAGATCCTCAAATTACAACGATTTCCCTCTTAGTATGAAGCAAGTCCCACCACTAAGTGAATATTTGTTTCAACTCTAAAATAAATCAGGGTGAAGGATATCTAAAAGGGAAGGGACATACAATCCATTTCCACTAGGAAATTAAAAACTAGCTGTTCAGCACAAGACCATGAAGACAAAATACGATACCAGTCATAGTAATATAAAAACAGATCAGCAGTTTTCTTTTTAACACCTGGGCAGAGATATGGGTCACTCGCCAAAAAAAAAAAAGACCCTGAAATATCATAAACTCATCTAATTAAACCAAGTAAGTCAGGCTACTTCCATAAAAATAAACTCAGGATTTCTTATCTTCAATCCAGATATTCCCTTTTAGTGGCAATGGAGCAGGTTATCCTGCTGAATCACTGTGCTTGTCAGACAAACATACTATATTGCTTGGAAAAAAGGTTGCTCAGTAACTGTTGCTCTTGAGATGTACTGTCGCTGTGTATTCCTCTCTTGGGGATGCATGCATCTTTTGCACCAGCACCTGGAATTTTTGGCTAGCAGTGGCCACTGTACGGTGCCTGCACACTAAGGGCCCCTCTACACATGCAGGTAAAGGTGCAATGGGTTCTAACATGCAATCCATACAATCATGCCTCCTGCCATGCTACAAGGCACATAAGACAGGATGCGCAATTATGGGATCATGCAGGTTCCATCATTCTTTATTGCCAGTGCAGGTGGAGCCTGGGATTACAGTCCCGGACTCCCCCTGCACCACATCCCGCAGCTGTGAACCCCAGGGCTGACAGAGCTCAGCAGGGCTCTCAGAGTTCCTGACACTGCCCCCACTGTGAGCCCCACAGCTGACATCAGCTGCAGGGTTCACAGTGGGAGTTGCAGGACTTCCAGTGAGGAGAAAGCTGCCCTACTGCAAGCCACATGACCAACTATGCTGCCCCCAGTGTGAGCCCCACAGCTAACAAGGCTCAGTTGACAATACCGCCATCATTGTGAGCCCTGTCAGCTGCTTGGGCCATCAGCTGATGGGGCTCCCAGCCACAGAGGAGCACTTGCCTACATGTTCAGTTAACAGCTTGCTTAGAACAAACTACAAATTTATTAACCATTTTTTGTGGAATTACTTCGTAGCGTATCGCTTATTTGATCATGCCATTGAATGCTGGCGTGTAGCTGGGTCACAACTTAAGGTGCGATTACCTGGTTAATCATGCCTTAAGTGTAATGCGTAGAGGGGGCCTCAGTGCTTTCACACCCATTCCCAAAGGCATAAGTGGGCAGAGCAGATTCTCAATTCCTTTGCCAATTCAGAACGTAGGTGGCAGGCAGAATCTAGGCACAGAACTACCATCAAGTTACCATTGTTTTCTTCTACAAGTGCTCTTCTATCTGTACTCCATCTTTGGTGACTTTTACACAGTAACTTGATCCTAGAGATGCATCCTTCAATCTATTTAAATACTGATTGTAATATAGCTCTGCCTCTATGAACGCAGGTAGCTTTTCTACAAATGTCAGAAATAGGAATACTTCAGGAAGAAGCTGCATATATCCTTGTGGAGTAAGCTGTAACCTGACTAGGAGGTTTTCTTCTAGCTATAGTTCAATACAATCTGAGATCAGTGGACCCATGTCTTCAATTCAAAGCATCCGATAATCTAGACCCTGAATATTTACTCCATTCAACTGCAAACTCTTAGGAGTGAGCAAAGACTAGGCACTTTCCAAACATAATGCACTGCATTTATCCAAACGTAATGTAAACAATTTATCAATGCTCATTAAGAACCTGGTGCTGTGTCAGTACTGTAATATTAGCAGTCCCATGACTGACCAGCTCCTCTCATTTTCAAGGTTTCTTATACAACCCTTTGACAGGTAGTACCCTTCACTGTTTCTGGAACAGTTAAAGGAAGTACAGTAAGTTACAAAGAAGTATGAACTTGCCTGGTTTATGCTCTTAGCAAATGTGCAGACAACCAGAGTGTACTATAAGGAACTGGTCTTGCACTATGTAGTTAAGTAAATTGCACACTAATGCAGGGGTGGTCAATCTACGCATGTGTGCCACAGGCAGCCTGTGTGTGTGGCACACAGCAGACTGGGCATGTGGCAGGTAGCACAGAAAATAGAAACAGACTGGTCAGCAAGCACAGGGCAGGTAACAAAAAGCAAAGCAACAGATCAGACAGGGAGCAGAACAGCCAATAGGGCAAGGAAAAGGGATCAGAGGGGCATTTGGAAAGGCTGTAGGGCAAAGTTGTAGCATGCCTGCTAAAAAGGTTGGCCCCCTACTACACTAATGGATATATGTGGAGTACTGTAGCTC